GGTTGAGGACCATGGAGCTAAGGAAGTGCCGGTTGAGGACCATGGAGCTAAGGAAGTGCTAGTTGAGGACCATGAAGATGAGGAAGTGCCAGTTGAAGACTATCAGTCAGATTCAAGTGGCATTAACACTGGAGACCCATCTTCACGGGGCGCTGGGCCACTTCCCCGTGGTGACCAGACCCCAGACTATGAGGCAAGTAGCTCCAACCTATTGCTGTCAATTACAGCCTAAAACTGGAACATGAGAACGAACTGGGTGTGTGCCAGATATTAATATTTATCCACTTGTCTTCCACAGGCAGCAGATTATGACTCTAAGAGCCCACGGGCACACAAGCCAGCCTGCCCATACAAACAAACCCCGAAACCTGGAGTCACGCACACCACAAAGAAACCCTGCCCCCTCAAGCACACCACAAAGAAACCCTGCCCCCTCAAGCACACCACAAAGAAACCCTGCCCACACAAGCAGCCAAACTACCCACCGCAGCAGCCTCCAAAGCCACCCTGCCCACACAAGCGGCCAAACTACCCGCCACAGCAGCCCCCATGCCCACACAAGCGGCCACACGGGCCACCCTGCCCATACAAGCAGCCAACAGGGCCACCCTGCCCATATCAGAAGCCCCACGTGCCTCCGGTGCATCAGAAGCCACATGTGCCACACGTGCATCAGAAGCCACATGTGCCACACGTGCATCAGAAGCCACACGTGCCTCAGCTGCCTCCGGTGCATCAGCGGCCCCACGTGCCTCAGCTGCCTCCGGTGCATCAGCGGCCCCAGGTGCCACACGTGCCTCAGCTGCCCCAGGTACATCAGCTGCCCCAGGTAGGCTACCGGCCCCCGGTGCAGAAGTACCAGGTCGTGTGGCCAGGCTACCCACAGACGTTGTCACGCAACCAGGTCATGCGGCCACGTTACCCAGTTGTGCGTCAAGGCTACAAGCACCAGAGGCCACGCTACCATTGAGGTACATTAGCCATCAAACTGTTGAGCCTGCAGATGGGTAAGCTGTTATCATCACCATGTTCTTGTTGACTAGATGGAAAGCTAAAGTACTAACTTTGCATTTCTTCCAGGTGTGTCCACAGTTTCTTGCAATTGGTTCCACAAGTGCAGTGGGCATGGTATGTTGGACTCTACAGAAAGACAATCCAAGTTTTCAAATGTGGAGTTTTTCTTTAATTTAGTTTTTTTTTTTTTTTTCCAGGCACTGCAACGCTGAAGACTCTAAACCTATTGAACCACTGTATTGACTTGTCTAATTAAAATAACTTATTCTTTACATTCTGAACTCTGAGTATTGTGGTTTTGTTTTTTCAAAACAAATTAAAAAGACTACAGTTCACTGGTTTGACATCAAACTTGTAAGTGTTCTACCTAAACTTGAACCCTTCGGACCAGGTTTGCACTGGATAAACCTTAAATGTGTGGGTTTTGTTGAACAACCAAATGTAAGGCTCTCTGAAGCCTGTGAAGTTGGTACACTTCCTGCCAACACCTCCAGTGGTTCTTGGCTTTCGATGACAATCCATGAGACTAAATGTGCATTCAGTGACTTGAAACCTGATTCCAAAATGGCCTGTTTTCAAACTTGAGCAGAGGTTGCTACAAGGATATGAGAAGTCTTCAGTTGTAATCGTGATGGGATCACACCATACTTCGTCACACAACCAGGAACATGCAGTTCTACTCCATCTTGCTGACAGGACGGTTACCTTAGTTGTGCGACATTTGTTTTGCACCAGTTGCCAGTCTTTAAAATTAGCACAGTGAGCCCTGAGCTGAAAAATGTAAGTTTGTTGTGCATATCAACCAATTCTAAGACACTCAGCTTTTCAAGCGCACTATCAAACTGCTACATATAGAGTACTGACATCCTTGGAGGATAAAGTTGTCATCAGAGCTCCTTTGTTTTGATAGTTGATCCTTGTGCATGTGAGTCCCCTTTGAAACAGGTAACCCTCATGCTTGAAAGTGACCTTACATGGTGATGTGAAAGTGCAATCCACTGTTCAGCCAGTGCCCCAAAACTGAAGTAGGAATGTCCCAATCCAATCTCACGGACCAGAGTTGATCCAGGCAATTTTTCACTGACGTAACGACATAAACCTAGAACCCAATCTCTTTGTCTGCTGTCACACATGTACAGGAAGTGGCCAAACAAAGGTTGCTGGAATTTAGGAACACTGTCCATGAAGATCCCAGTTTGTCTTAAATACTGGATTTCTTGCCCGAGGCCAACAGACATCACAGAAGACTTTGTGATGGTGGTCCCCCCCTTCAACGCTATCTGCTTGCCAACACGTAACTGGATACTACAGTATTAAACAGTGGGGTGCTGCAACAAGGTACTACATCCTATCTATAATACTTGACGTACAAGAAAATGGTATCAAATTGCCAGATACTA